GTTGTCATTCAAAGTTTCTTGCCAGAATAACAAAATAACCACTGGTACCCGCTAGCTTATCAAAGAGTTGCATAAGATACCTTTCTTTCTTGGGGTGATGAAATAGCATCTTAAAAATCACAATTGCATAGGTTTAAAGAGAAGAATATACCTTACTTTCACTGTTATGGGTATTTTTATTTGGTAACATCTCTAAACCAAAACTCCAAAGAGTTCAAGGTAATCCTAATAGATTTCATTTTCTCCAACTGTTTCACAGGATTTCCAATTACTTTTAGTTACACCCATCCACATCCACAGTAGTCACTAACTCTTACACAACGGTTAACAAACTAAGAATGTTTAACAAAAAGTTGTTAAACTGCATTTAAGAAGTGCTTATTCAGCAGCTCTATAGAAAGCAGAGAAAACTGTCCCTCCTACGTCCAGACCTCCTGAAGCTATTTGCTCTAGATAGTGAGCAGGCCAATTATGACCATGCATCTACCTTCAGATTCTACCTTTAAATTCAAATTTTGAGTACAGCCCAGTTTCATGTGTCTCCAGCTCTCCTGTAGCACACCAAGAAAGGCAGAAATCTTCAATGCTGCAGTTTTGGCCTCTGTTGCTATCTAAAGGTATGGACATCTACAAAGACTTCTGTCATGACACTGATCCCATGGAATCTCACATTCCTTATTACTGCTGGCACTCTAACAAAAGCCAGGTAGTAAGTAGAGAGACAACAAGTGTTAACTCACTTGAAGTTTCCAAGCAATTTCCTACTAGCTTGGAAAAGTTCCAAACACCACTAAATGCATCACTCGGGTTTACTCACAGATAGTACCTGTGAAGGCAGATCACAGCTAAGCAGTACTTACTGACCTAACAACAGAGGAACAAAGATTGCATTTTAACAGGAGCTCAGCAATCCTTAAAAATTGCATTAGGACAGACATTATTACTGGTGTCTACTGGAAAAACCAATCAGATACTGCAATTTCACCACATTATTAGGCTTTAAAAAATAACTTCTGGAAGATGTATTTCTACTTCTTCCCAATTATACGTATTCATTTATATACATACATAAATTTATACACACAGAAAATCTGAAATAATCTCAGAAAGTTCAGAAGAAATACCAGAGACCACAAACTATAAAATTAGAATGTTATTTTTTTCATTTTTGCTGTAACAGAGTATTTTTGAGTTAAAATTAAAATTCTGTGTTTCTCATGGAAGAAAAAAGTGTAATACTATTGTTTCATCAAAATAAATTTGTGAGACAGCATAACTCACTAATAAAAAATGAACATGAGAAAATATTCATCTAAGCACAACACATGGAAATATATATATATATATATGCCTACAGGGCATTTATATATATTGTGTGTACATACTTGTTTCCTGAATAAATTAAATGCAGTATTTTGATCATCCTTTGTCAAATCAGTTAACAATTTCCTAATTTCTTACCTAAGGAAATGACAACTTCCAGATTTAGTTAAACTGAATTTGTTTCTCCAACTAAAAGCCTTCAGGAAAGATGAAGGAAAGTTGAATCTTTCAGGAAGAGGCAACTTCCTTTTTTTTTTTTTTTTTTGGTAAAAGCTCCCAACAGAGAAAAACTTCTTATTGCATCTGGTGTGTCACTTAAGTACAGATTATGCACATTCAACCTTTGAGAGCCCTTCCAAGATAGTCACCATCCTTTGGTGCTCCACCAGACCCAGATGTAGAAGTGATGAACAGCAGAGCTGCGGCTTTAGGGAACAGAAAGGCAGATGTACATTTACCCTAACCCTAAACTTCCACCTTGCTGCACCTACAGCCCTCCCTTTGTTATTTCACGACTGCAGCTAACTTCCTACACAAGAGAATCATCCTTTTCAACTAGCTCAGGGTATCAAAATCAGGCAATTCTCAAAACCAAAACTAAGATGTTTACAGCTTTCGGCTTGTGACCCTATCCTCAACCGCTGGGTGAAAAGACATCAAACAAGTGGGGCAGATATGATGTCACTGCACTCATATCCTCTCTGCTCACTGCCCTTCAAGGCAAGGTGGATTAGTACGTAGAGATGAAACAAAATGTGTCTACACTGCTGAAAAGCCATGAACTAGCCCTTGTTTTGAAGTGCTCCAAAGCATATGCACATTACAGATTTCTGGCATTGATGACTACAGAAGATGCTTAACATTGCATCTCTTACATATGAAAAAAAATAGGGAAAAAGGTTGGGAAATGCTGAGATTTATAAAATTCAGTCAGCCTTAAAGGGTTTAGCAGATCAACTGTAACTATTTCAGAATTCATTCGGACAAACTGATAACAATGCTTGACAACACTGAATAATAAGTTTAGCCATCATCAGAAACTGCTCAGCATGTTTTTGTAACTATTAACTGGAAGGACATTTTTTCTCCCTCACCTTAGACCGCTAGCAAAAAAAACCTCTGAACACCGAACAGTGGACTGACAGAAGGCCAGGCTTCAAGAATTTTGGTGTAGGAATGGCAAGTCAGCCCATCAAACTTTTATCAGCAGTGCTTTTTTTCACCCCCATTAATACCATATATGTTTAAATACATCATTAATTGAAAGAAAAATCACCCTTTAATTACCATATAAAGCAAACTTAATATAAAGCTTTTGCACAGGTTTTTTTAGTACTCAAGACAGTGGAAAATTGAGAAGATTCTGCAAAGAATCCCTGTAACAGGAGATAAAACAAAAAACCAACAGATATTTGTAACCTGAGGAGAACCATCACATATGAGGAGCAGAACAATCTACAAGTTTTATAAAACCAGGGGCTAGAAGTCATGCAACAACTGTACCAAACTACAGACAGTTGAGAGCACAAAAACACTTTATCATCTGGATGTTTCAAAAGCTATAGCTGACTAACCAGAGAACATGATCTGCCTGTTGGGTCAAACTCAACAACCTTAACATGCTGTGTTGGAGAACCATAAATTCATGGTGAAAACACTCACAGCATACCTGGAAAAGTGTTCCCAATCGTAAAGATACTCTGAATACAAGGTAAACTAGTGAACCCGGGTGTATTGCTATTAAAGCTCTGAAAAACATTCTCTTTCATGACCATTTGGAAGAGAGAGATTTTCTCTCACTGCCGCTCACCCAGGTCACAAAGCTGTTGTTCATTCTGCTCATTCACAACCAGACTTAAAGGTAAGTGAAACACTAAAGAAAATGGATATATCTCTTATTTGTGTCATTTGTCACCTTGGAAGCTGACACATCAGAAAATGTAAAACTACTCAACGGAAAGCTTCAAAAGATTTAATATTATGACTAAAAGTCTAAATAGCCTTTCCCCCACCTCCCATATTTCTGATCTTATCTAAGGAAACCAGAAAAACAAACACTGTATTCCTAGAAATGCTAAAGGAAACATTTGAAAAAAAGTACTTGGGATCACTTCCAAGCCTTTTCCATGTCTCTGAAGAGGATGTTATCCATTTTCTTTTAACACAGTCAATCTCTAAACACAGCTTTTCCAGTTAAAAAACAAGAGACACGGATTATCACATATAATCAACCAAATTTTGTCACCATGTCATTTCATTTAAGAAACCTACCATTTATTTCTGCGAAGATCAAATGAAATCCTGACAAAATGACTCTCCCACGTGTAGGAGTCTGAATACCTACACAGTAAAACTAAGTTGGATTACACTTAAAACTATGATCCACTGAAAAGAAAATCAAAAGCCCACAATACATCACTGATCTACAAACTTAACATCAGACACTAAGTTAGTTAGATTTCCCTTTAAGGTTACCCAAGCTATAAAATTACAATCTTAAAATAGCTGTTCAATAATCAAGAGTATTCCACCCATTATAAAATTACTACTTTGATGGGCACAGCCTTAACCATCTCCTGACATTCTAAACAAATGACTCTGCCAACAGCACCTAGTTACTGAAACTAAACACACGGTAACTACCTGGCCTTTCTGTTACTTCATTCTTCCTAAGAATTTAAAATTAATTAGTAGTCTAGCACGAAAACATTGTGAGAGGAAGAGGACCCATTTTAGTCCTAACAGTACTGTTTTGTTTTGAATTTATAAACGTGGCGATGGATTGTCAAAGATGACTTATATTTGGGGCTCAGGCTAATAATATTCTTTAATACTCACCAAAGGGAAAAAAAAAAAAGAAACTAGGACACCATGTCCTATAAAACAGAAGAAGTACTGGAGAGTATGTCACTGGCTCGGTAACTGCATTGCTTCCAGACTCCAGCGCTGCTCCGCGCAACTTTGCTGATGTTTAAGTCACTCGCGATCCTACAACAGCACAAAAGCAGAGCTGGGCTTGGAGCTGAGCCTCTCCGTGCAACTTCCTCCACAACTCCAGGCCCCTGGTAAGTCCGGGCACTCCAGAAGCCGCTCGTCCAGCAGACGCTCCCTGTGTTTAGGGCTGCCGGAGGCCGGTCCGGGAGCGGCGGGACGGCAGAGCCTCGCCGGGCCGTATCTTTGTTCCGTGCCGCGCAGGGTCCCTGGGCAGGGCTCCAGGGCTGCCGCTGCTCCCGGGGCGGCTCCACAAAAGCTGGGTGCGCGGAGGGCCCCGGATCGCCGCTGCCGCCCCGCTTTGTTCCCCTCCGGCCCCGGGAGCTGAGCGCGGACCCGCGGGGGCCGAGCGGCAGCACCGGGCCGGGCCGGGCTCCCTCCCGGCCGGCGCCACGACGCGGGCGGCGAGAGGAGCGGAGAGGAGGCGGCGAGAGGATGGAAGGGGGCACCGCGGTCGGAGCCGGCACCAAACTCCGCCCAGCCGACGGAGCGGCGAGAGCGCCCCGGCCCGGCGAGCCCCGCGTGGGCCAAGGCCGAGCCGGAGCGGGACGGCAGCGCCCGCGCCCCTCCTGCGCTGCCCTTCTCTCCCCTCCTGCCGGTCCCGGCTCGGCCTGCGGCCTCAGCGCCTCCCCTCGCCGCGCGGAAACTCCCGAGGGAGCCGGTCGGTCCCGACCGCCGGTGCTCACCTGGCGCGGCCGCTGCCCCGCACGGACCGGCGAGTCCCGCTCCGTGTCCCGCTCCGTGTCCCGCTCCGTGTCCCGCTCCCGCTCCCGCTCCCGGTGCCCGCGCCCCTCGGGGGGGCTCGCGCGGTACGAGGAGCCCCGCGCGCTCAGCGCGCGCCGCGCCGCCACATGTGCGCGCGGTGCGGGGCGGCGGTGCCGGCGGGGCCCGCGCGGGGGCGCTGCGACCCTGGGGCGCGAGCGGGAGAGGTGGCCAAAGAGACGCCCCCGGCCCGGCCCGGCCCGGCCCGCCCCCCGAGCATTGTGGGATAGGTCCTCCAGCACCGCCCGCCAGGGAGGGGCACGTGACCTGCCGGCCACGCCCCGCGTCCAGGAGCCAATGGGAGATGGGGGCGGGGAGAAGGGGGTGGGGCAGGGCCGCGCGCCGCGGGCGGCTGCGCCCTCTGGTGGCGGAGAGGCGCGGCCCAGGGATGCGGGCGCTGCCTGTTACGTCATCTAATCGCGACGCGGGGTCAGGCCGAGTGCCAACCCTTTTTTATTATTTATTTATTTGTTTATTTATTTATTTATTTATTATAGCATTATTATTATTATTTTAATAAAATTGGACGAAATGTGCACTGGGGGAGGTCCTGTGACCGCAGGGGGTGTGCGCTGGGCCCGCGTGGGGAGGAGGCAGCGCTGCTGCAGGGGCCGGCCCGGAGCGCGGGGTCGGTGTCGGCCGCGGCTCGGGGCTCACGGAAACAGCGCAGTTTGGTTCCTATACGTTCGCTTAGCCCGTTACTGTCAGAGCAGGTTGCCGTGTTGTCGTACGGCCTGGCTGTGGCAGGCGGGAAGCAGTTGGGTGCAGCCGCCGTGCTGGCCCTGTTTGTGCATGGCATCCCAGCCCCGCCAGGCTGTGTCTGCTGGGGGCCCCTCCGCACGGGCTCGCAGCAGAGCTGGGGTCAGCCCAACCCTCAGCGGAACTCCCAGGGCAACACTCCTGCCACAGCAACAAACGGCAGGGAAGGGGAAGCAGCGACCCCGCGTACGCAGAGTTGGTCGATTGTCTCCTCGTGTTCAGAATGAAGCTGTCGCAGCCTGAGTATAGTAAAATATGTGTCTCAAAAATTATGAGACCTTATTAGTTGCCATGATCGCTGACAGAGTATTAATTTAGAATCAACTCAGAAGAACTTAAGTGAGAGCAGGCTGTGGGGACAGAATGTAAGAATCGCAGGAAGGAATGAAAAGACTGTCCATTGGCAGGCTTCAGGGAAGTGTAATAAGAAATAAGACTACAGACGTAGTTTGGAAAGCACACACTTTAGGAATGGAGATGAAATGGTTAAGATGAGTCTGACTTAAAAGTGATTAAGGTTAATGAACTCCCCAAATCTTCAACTGGATAATATAAAGAAAGGAATTAGGTGCTTCAAAAATTGAGATTAAAAAAAGTCCTGTTATAAAATAAGTGACTCTGAGTGCTATGCTTTCTGACTGAGATCTTGAATGACCCTAGAATAAGACACTGAAGCAATTAAGAAGGGACAACCATAGCAGAAAACTAGAGGCAAGGTTTTGTTGCAAGGAGGGCATAGTACACATAACTACTGTAATTGTTAGTGCTGGGTCTTTGAATTAAAACATTTACTAAGTCATTCGGGGCTCAGAGATGCAGAGGGGGGCTTGGTGTTCACTGTTTCTATCACCAGTCACAGAGATGTTGCTGTCATCTACGCACGCTGCCCAGATCGTGTTGCACAGAGGAGCCGGGCAAGCTGAAGAGAAGTGTCAGTGTGAGAGAGGAATGCAGAGAGAAACACTCATCACTTCTGACGTGCTGTCTGTACTTTGTTTGATCTTCTGATTTTGTATCTCACATCCATCCCAGCACTGGCCTTTACAGCTCCTCACACAACTTCAGATGAGTGGCCTTGGCCCTTTCTCACCCCCCTTTTGAGATGGACGTGTGCTGTGCACTGTTTTTGTTGGAGGCAGAAATCTGGGACTTCACTCAGCTCTGGAAAATATGTCTTGAGTTTTCCTACATGTACATGAAGTTCCTGTCTGCAGAGGTTTCCAGTCCAGCCAGGGCTGAAGGACAGTGCTGTCCGGTTGGCTGGCTGCTCCCAGAACCAGTCCACCCAGTGGTCAATCCGTTCTGTCAAAGGAGAGTATGAGATAAAGCGCCTTCCATGTGCTCCATGCATGCTGAAAGGAGCAAGGAATTTAGGTTTTGTACAGGGGTATAGAAAAAAGGGGTCATGAACTCTGATTTTCTTCTAATCTCAGCAAACTCTATGATACAGGCACCTTCATATTTATCAGGCTACATTCGTTCATGTACCCATTAGTGTTTTCCTCAAAAATCAAGATGGGAGGGTGATTTGACCTGTAGGAATAGATGAAATATCACTGGGAATTGAGGTGAAGATGGTACAAAATTGGTAGGAATGGAAAATAATTTGTTACAATTTCTGGATTAGTGGATGAGTTGCCATCATCAGCCAGTTTTGCAGAAAGGAGGATCTTGTGTTCAAAGTCTTAAGACTTGGGAGCCAACCTTGTGATTTTTGACATTTGATTACTTTGTTTTCATGCTTTAGGACAGTAAAAACATAATTTCTTTAGTGTGTTTTTATAAGTTCTAAAGTCTTTAGTGTCTTCAAGTGACTGATGGCAGAGGTTATCCTTAGTCAAGGTGGACACCACAACCTATAAATCCATTGTAGGTGAAGGATAGCACTAGTGGAGGCAGTTACTATTGCCTGTTGTCTTTCCTAGGTAGGTATGACTGTTGCTTCATTTTCCAGCTAGATCAAGAAGATACTCAAAGACTGTGAGCAAACCTCGAGCTGTAGGAGGCACATGATTTTTAGCAACACTTCGGAGGTTTTTTGTGTGTGCCGTGTGTTTTGTTTGGGAGATGTACTCTGCCCACATTTTCAGAGTTTCCTGTAGCCATGAGATCTGGAAACTTCTCCAAAGCAGAGCCTCTTGCTGAGTCATGTTTCTCTTGGTAGGGCAGCATGGTGAGGAAGCAGAAGCAGAGACGTATTCATAGCACAGCTGTGAGTACAGGTAGAAGCTAGATGTGCCAGAGGAGAACTGGAACACACACAGGGAGAATGGTGTGAATGAGGGCATGGTCATTTGGACAGGGGAGCAACAGGGAGTGTGATACTAAAAATGAGTGGTACTTGGGTGAGGAAGAGAGAGCAATGATGGCAGAACAGATTGAGATATTTTGATCACAGTATGGTACAGCAAAGGAGGTGAGGTGATGCTTGATGAAAGCAGGGATGAGTCAAGAGTGGGACTCCTGAGTGACAAAATAGTAGTTATCCATGAGTAGAGAAATAAGGATTGGCATAGATCACAGAGGGGAAGATGGAGATGACTGTGTATTTAAATTCTTAACTTGGAAACATTCTGTGCCATCCTACAGCATTTACCATCTACACAACATTGCAACAAAGGCTCAGGTAAGTGACTCTTTATTATAAGTTTTTTTCCAACGTAATAAGCTTGAATGACCCTGAAGCGGTATTTCTGGAGTCTTGAAGCTGCCAGTGCTACATTCTGTCTCTGGAAGAGACACGGTGAAAAAATTTTAGCATAGTGGGTTGTTCTTCCTATTATGACACTGTTGGGAGTGATCAGTTAAAGCCACCAAAATATGCTATGCGCAGGGAACCAAAGAACTGTTGATGATATAAAACTTTTGCTGTCTGATTTCAGATGCTCATTTAAGTAATGAATGATTCATCTGTTGGGCTACTGAATTTTGAGCTTTTGAAGAGCGTAAATATTTAAAATGGCATAAAAAACATCTGAAGTGGAGACTCTGAGGGTTATTCAGAGCTCATTTACCCTCTCTGTCCTATGCAGGGTCAGTCATGCATATGTTGCCCCTTCATTCAATCTATTCTTCAATATCTCTGGTGATGGACTCTCTTCCAAAGCCTCCTTCCTCAAGCAGTCTATGTCTCTAGCTTAAAATTTATACTTTTAGAAAGCTGTTCTGATGCATAACTGTGATCCTTCCTGCTGTATCAGAAGCCCATATGTTTATCCCTGTCCACCATAAGTGCTGGGATCAGATTGTCCCCTGTCTATTTGCAACAGATTTTTATTTTTTTTTAGCTTTTTTAATTCCTTCTCAATCCTTACCTGAGGTTAAACAACGCTACTTAAATCAAATACATGGTAAGTGCTTTGTCTGTCCTATCCAAGGGCCCTGTTACTTTGCTATAAAAGGAAATGAGACTGCTTGGGCGTCATTTCTTGAAAAGTTAATGTTGGATATAATCTTCTTCTTAACTTTGAAGCAATTAGAAATTGTTAAGTTGATTATTTTATCACAGAGGTTTTTTTTGAGATCTCTCTCTCCCTCTTTCCAAAAATGAATTTTGATTATTGCTTTGATTTGCAATTCAGCTTTGTCATGTGTTTATATATTATGCAAAAAAAATTAAATTATCTAAAAATAAACTAGGGGATTTAACTCATTGTTTCAATAATGTGGTGGTCTGAAGTCTCTGAGTGTCTGTATTTGGTACTGGCATTCTCATTGCTTTTTAGGGAATTTTAAATTTTGAAATTCTGCTGTGTATTTATCTGTCCAACCAGGTTGAGTGTTATGTGTGCTGTATGGTTTTTTATTTAGATGCAGTATGTCTTTGCTTGCAAGTTTCATTGTTTGGAAATACATCATGATATTCTATAAATAAAAGTAAATAGGATGAGTGAAGAGTTCAAGACTTCTGCTTTTTAGCCAAAGTAATGCAAAAGGTTGGTCTAATACATTAAAAAAAAATCTTTTTTGAGAGTACAGTCAGTCAGAGTATAGACAACTGTTCTATTTTCTTTTTTTCTTCTTCTTTCTTTTTTCTTGTATTTGTTTTAATACACTGCAGTATTCACAGAATATTCTGAATTGGAAGGGACCACAAGGATCATCAAAGCCCAACTCCTGGCCCTGCACAGCACAGCCCCAAGAATCACAGACAGTAAAAGCCATGTTAGAAGCAAAGTTATTAAACCTCTGCTTTGGATCTTTGGTTGTTTAATTGTTGGGGTGGGTTTTTTTTGATTTCTAACTCATTCAAAGAAATTACTCAGTTGTTACTGGTTC